GCCTGTACTCTTAACCTTATCACCACACTGCTTCTTTTAAAAGTATTCTTGGTATAAATGCCCTATAATTTATTTAACTAATCTCTTACTGGTCAACATTTTGAGTTTCTAATTATTTTTCTAACACAAATAATCAATTTATATGTTATAACATTTGTGTACTTATGTGAGTATCATTGTACTTACAATATTATAATTTTAACACCACTTTTAGTGAATTTTAAGATCTGAGTAGTAGAGGAAAGATAGGGGACAGATAGTTTTAAAAGTCTTTCAGGTGATTTTTTTCCTTTTTAAAAAAGCTTTTATTTTTTTCAATGTATATAAGAATATATACCCATTATAAAAATTTAAGCATTATAGAATGTGTGATATAGAATATAAAAGTATCTTAGAACTCTGCTTTGGAGATAACCACTGAAAACAATTTATATTCTTACAAATTTTTTTCTATGTATTTGTGTGTGTATTTAATTGTATTTCTTCCACACTAAACTGTAAACATGGGCATCAGGGATTTTATTTTTATATACAGACCCTGGCACATAGTAGATATCTAATAAATGCAGCCTGAACTGTTCATGTCTAAGAATATTACAACAAAGAATGCTAGAATTCACTAATACTAAGATGCTAATGATACCTGATTTATAGAGGCCTGTTAAGGTATAAGAAAATACTCCATAAAAGAAAAAAATGATACTAGAGTATGAATTTTTAATTTCTGGAGTCCCTTAATATTTTTCTAGTTCTGTGTTACATTTCTATTTTAGTGCAATTTAATGTTTCATTTGTATTATATTATTCCAGCTGCCTTTATTAAGAAGTCAGATTAGTGATTCCCCAATAATATCACTCTAGTTTATTATGTTAACAGTTTTTATTAAAGTGACAAGTCAATTCCCCAATAATATCTGTAAGTCTTGTTAGTATATGACTCTTGTGAGCCTATGCTAGGAGTTTACAGTATATAAATAAATGTATAAATACATAATCCTTAGTTTAAGGCTTTAAGGGCTTATGGTAATGATTTCCAACCCAGGGTGTCTGAACTCTTAAGAATATTTTCAGAAATTTAAAAAATTTAATTGAATCATATTTGTTTGCGATAATGTTATACTGATTAACTAAATGGTATTTATACATGGAATCGCATCAATTTTGAGAAGTAACACTGGCCATCTTATGCTGATCATATGCTCTAATTGGAGATGTGTGTGCATGGGTCATTGATATTTTATTTATCAAGAAAAGAAAGTATATCCTAGTAATTGCAATCTGTATATGAGCATCCAAAAATGACATTTTGGTAATGCTTCTCTGTAAAACAGTGTTGTCTTGTCACTGTTTCATTGATGAGAAAGCAAGGTGTGATTCATGCCTAAAATAATGCTGCAGTAGTACTGGGTTTGTCTGACTTTGTTCAGTCTTTTTAGACAGAATGGTTGAATACCTATAATGTGCCAGACACTCTGCCAGGTGCTGCTTAGAGAATGAAAAACTCTCATGATCCCGGCCCTCTAGGGTGCTTAGAGTTTAGTGGAGGAGATTGGTATTAATCAATTAAATGCAAAATTACAGTGGTGATAAGTGCTGCATGGAGTGAAATGAGAACTATATAATGAAGTTTGGGAACCACCCAAAAGACTACCCTCACTTCGAACATCAACTGT